GACAGGAACGGTAGAGGCGGAGACAAGTGGACAGTTCCAGGTACTTTAGGAAAGTGAAATCCGAAGGAGCTGGCGTAAAATAGCCCTACCTCAAAGTCTTACTCTTCTTTCCACAAGGTAATATGTACACACGGACACTTACATACACTGTTCTTCATCTTGTTTTTTATACTTATAAAAACATTGTGCAAATTTTCCTTACTAGATCAGTAAAATCTGCCTTGTTCTTATTAACTTCTAGTATTCCATTGTAATCCTATGGGTCTCCCTCAATTAATGTAATTAATTCTCTGTTTGATGATATGTAGCTGTATCTATTTTTGTGAACACTTGAAAACATTGAACAATAATGCCATGGACAGCTTTGTACTCACACCATCTTACACTTGTGTAGGTATACCTGGAGCTCATGAAGATAAACATGGGAGAGAATTTGCTGAGCTGAAGTCCATGAGTTGTATGCATACTTTCCTATACATATTTAGTCATCTGATAGTGCTGATTCATCCAACATAGTGGTCATGCCAATGAGTTTTTACACTAGCTACCAAATTACCCTAGTGTTTTTGTTTGATACTTGTTTATTGCCTTGTTTCTCTCAACACACAGACATCTTGATTGTCCCTACGCCTAGGATTGTTTTCCCCTCCAGCATCGGTTAGGTGTTCAAGAAACTGAAACATTTTCAATGTTAGTTACATAATGTAAGAAAACTACAAAAATTGATATTTTGTTAAATGTAAACAAAATGCAACAATGTCAACCATTAACTGCAACTCAAGGATATATATTTATTTATAAATTTGATTTAATGTGGGGTGTTGCCACATTTTAATGTTTGATATGGATGATACCTCTAAAAGTGCAATCTTAAATTTTAAAACAGTCCTATCTCTACCTTGAAGATCTCTCAAAAACAGGATTCCTGCTTTGTCAGGATTTCGGCTTCTTTACTGCTAAATTTCCTTATCTTTAACTGGGGATCCTAATAAAATCCCCTAGAGTTACAGGGTAAGGACAAAACAAAATAGTGTATTGTAAAAGGGCCAGTTATCAGTTGCAAAGTAGTATTAGCACTCCATTGTCTCCAGTCAACACCTGGAGGGCTGAGCAGTTGTTTTTTTTCACTCCAGCTACCCAGTCAATAACAACTTAGTGCTCAACTCCATGGGGCTCTATTCATGGTATAGTTACTGGGAAGGGGCACCATTCACAGAAAATACTCTGTGAATGGCACACCCCTGAGTGCCATTCACCGAAAATCCAGTATGAATGGTGTCTTCTGAAAATGTGTCTTGACTAACATGGCGCTAGACTTCAGGGCTCAGGAAATGTTTGCGAGATGAGATGAATATATGAATGAAATCCAACTTTACTTCCTGCCGGTTCCACTTTTTAAGATAAAAAGGAAAAAATGACCAGGGGCGGACAGTGGAGGAGGAGGGAAAGCAGTCATTAATTTACACACTCTAATTATGCATCTAGCTACAAGGTCTCAATGCTGCAATGAGATGTGCGTATGCATGCATGCGTGCACGCTGATAATTCCGGTAGGAGGGAGGATATATAAAAAGTGAGTCTCCCGGCTTCCCTGGTAGCACAGGGGTTAAAACCTCAGCGCTATCAAGCTATCACTAGACACTGCGGCTTCCATCACCTGCACCTGTTCACCAGGTGCAGGAGACCTCCTGTCTGCTGCTCCCCTCAGCAGCATATTCCAATAGATCCGCCTGTCCTGCTCCCCACTCTGTCTGTGGTGAATCCTCTTACCTTCCCCCCCACCTTTAGCCTACACCTTTTTTTAAGTAAGTATCCTATTCCTAAATATCCTTTTAATTATCCTTGAAATATTACTTTTTTTTCTATCTCAGCGTGGGTTGAATCGCACTGGTGATTTGTCAGCGCTCGATTTGGCACTCAAATTCTTACTTTGAATCAATTGTTCTTCGCGTCTACCGTGAGCCCATTTTGGTTCTTAAAGTATGGAAGTATGAGGTAAACAAGATAATACGGGTCCCCACCTTGCTTGGGAAAAAAACCAGACGGCTCTGTGTCTGCGAATCGCCTGAAAAGTGTTTAAATTGAGTCTAGAAGAATAAACACGAGTAAGAGTAAGTCATAAAGATGAGGCGAGGCGGGGGGGATAGATAAAAAAAAAAAAAAAAAAAGAGGACAGGAACGGTAGAGGCGGAGACAAGTGGACAGTTCCAGGTACTTTAGGAAAGTGAAATCCGAAGGAGCTGGCGTAAAATAGCCCTACCTCAAATATATCGACCCTAGAGAAGAAACAAGGCCGATGCTGCTGAAAGACTACTCAACTTACTCCTTAACCCAGCCGCCTCAAATACGAAGATAACAGTGAAGAGAGGGGCGGAGTCCATAAAATCCGGGAACTTTAAACTGAGTGGACGTCAGCAGACAGAAAAAAAAAAGGAAGTTCCGGTTACTCCGGAAGTGGAGGCTCTTAAGTTCCTCCGCAGGCGGAGGGCTAGAGGGAAGGGATGGCAGGGCGGGCGGCGCGGCTGGTGCTGCTAGCTGGAGCAGCAGCGCTAGCAAGCGGTTCCCAGGGCGACCGCGAGCCGGTGTACCGCGACTGTGTGCTCGGGTGCGAGGAACGGAACTGCTCTGGAGGCGCACTGAAGCACTTCCGCTCCCGGCAGCCAATCTACATGAGCCTAGCAGGTAAGCCCCTCCCTCTTGGCAAGCCCCGCCTTTCGGCATTGGCCCCGCCCCTCGAGTCCTAGTGCCTCTGCACCTTAGTCACCCCCCCCAACTCCGCCCCCAAATTCCTGGTCCTTGTACTTGTAGGTGAGTAAAGCCCCATGATGATGAAAGCCTCATCAACCAGCTCTACTTTCCCAGGAGATTTTCGTTTACTTTTTATTTGGTCAAACGGATACTTAATACTTCAGGAGAAGAGCCTTGGAATGTAAGCAAGCCAGGTCCAGTTCTTTGAACTCAGCCTCCTGAAGTGCCATTTGAGGATCAGTTGAACCTAAAAGACACTTAGATTAAGCAATCAGACCATATTGGGGGGCTGGGGGAGGAAGTTGTTTTGGACTATGAGAGTTTGGAGTGAACAATCATCTTGGAATATTCTGTGGATGGCTATATTAACTTAGCAACTGTAGCTATTGTGGATGTCTGCTGTGTAACAGATGTCACAGTAGCTTGGTTAATTTTCATAAATAACCCTTTGAGGTTGTTTCTTGAAACATTATTTTATAGATGGGAGAAACTCAGAAAGGCCAAGTGCCCTGCCCACAGTTACACAGCCAGTAAATAGTTTCCAGTTCTGAGCTGCTTGACTACAGGTTTATTCTCTTTACTATCCCTGTGCCTTCATCAGCCCTGGGCAGATGTGGGTACATCCAGCAGCTAAATCTACTCAGGGAGCAGGTGAATGTAAAATAGGGGGGGAAAGAAACAAGGAGTAGTGAGAGAGTTGGACAGGTAATATAGGACCTTAGAAGTCAGATTGAATAACTTGGGCGTCCTCTCCAGAGGATTTGGGTAATAACGGGCCCCTCCCTGTCGAAAGAGAGCAAATCCAGGCATCCACCGATGAGTCCATCTCACTGGGGAAACTGCTCCCTACAGTTATTGTTCACATTGTTACAGTGTCCCCTGCTGTAGCATGTACTGATGCCTTTCAAAGGTCCATCTTGGCTGAAACAAGAGAAGACACCTCAGTGCTGTACACTCCCATCCCCTCAAACACACAAACCCCTTCCCCTTATGTGTATGCCTCTTGTCCAATTCTAGTGGGAAGCTAGGATTTTGAGACTTCCGGTTCTTTTCAACCTGCAGACCCTCTTGGTCTGCATTTCAGCTTGGACCCTGTGCAAGCTCTCTCGGTGCCTCCCCATGCTGGGGAATTCACCAGGCCACATTTATCTGTTTCAGGCTGGACCTGTAGAGACGAATGTAAGTATGAGTGCATGTGGGTCACTGTTGGCCTCTACCTCCAAGAAGGTCACCAAGTGCCTCAGTTCCATGGCAAGGTGAGTTGTTGGGGAGATTCACCCCACCACATCCCTAGGTAGGACCACACTGTCTGAAGCAGTCAGGTATAGGGCTGATGGCAGGTACCTGTTCGCAAATGATACTGGTTTTTTTATGTAATCAGATAGAACTACGTGTCCTGTCTCTAGACTTGGAGTAACTATCTGGAAGGTCTGAGGTCTCCTAAGAGAGTAGTGCCAGGTTTCTAGGGTGATCAGATGCCTATTTTACTACAAAAACACACTCCCTTACCCATGTGATATGCTATCACTTTTCCAGTCTGACCTTGAACAATCATACCCCCTCAGATTGCCCAGGAAGCCAAAGTTTTCTGTGCCTTTTGACCCAATATGGTCTTCTGCTTATTGAAGTTGTCAAGAATTTTCCTTCCCAGTTTGTCACAGAGTAAACTGAGGCTCAGGAGGCTGATCAGTGGTCAGAAGAGCCATTAGCGCCCATGTCCTCAGGGGCAGGTCTGTGTTACTTCCTCTGGGTCATACTGAACATTGACACTGGCGCACCTGACGTCTCGGAGACCTGGCCTATAGTGCTCTGAGCACTGGCCGGGATAGGGAGTGTGCCGCTGAGCCAGGGAGCTCACTGACCTAAAGGGGGACGGAACCTGAGCATAGCTGAGGTCCAGAACCGAGGAGCCAGCTGAGGTTGGTGCAGCATGTCAAGGAACGGCGGGCTGGGCCAGCATGGGGGTGCTTGTGCCTCAGGCCCCTCCCTGTGCTCCTTTTTCAGTGGCCCTTCTCCCGGTTCCTGTTCTTCCAAGAGCCGGCTTCCGCTGTGGCCTCTTTCCTCAATGGCCTGGCCAGCCTGGTGATGCTCTGCCGCTACCGCACCGCTGTGCCCGCATCCTCCCCTATGTACCCCACCTGCGTGGCCTTCGCTTGGGTAGGTAACCTGCTCTGCATCCTCCTCCAGGAGGACCCCCATTCTCACCCACCCCCCACCTTCCTGCATCAAAGTAGTCACTCACCGAAGGAGCACCTACTGTGTTCCAGGATCTCTGCTGGGTGTTGAAAATCCTAAAGAATATACAGAGGGCGGAGTCCTGCCCTGGGGACTAATCACACAAGCAGACAATTGAATGTGAAAGCAGAACTGGGAAAGGTGAGATGAAGACTTAGGGGTGTGTGCATGGCACTAGGCCAGCATGGGGCACTCAGGCAAGGCTTTTCTGAGGATGGTACATTTGAGGTAGGGCCTTGCCCAGTGAGTGAGTGAGCATTAGCTAGGGGGTCTCAGGGAGAGTGGGGGAGTCACCGCTGTGGAAGACACGAAGACATGCAGTGTGCAAAAGGAGGAGAAGCACAGGTCTAAGGACCTGAAAGCCAGGAGGCCTTGTCAGAGGAAGCCAGGGAGTGGGTGTAAGAGGGTGGGCCGCAGACGAGGCCAGCCCACGGCAACTTGCGGTCTTGACCTCAAAGCATCCGGCAGCAACAAGGATTGCAGAGAAGGGGTTTCATGAGAAGAGTTTCCCAGAGAAGAGACTGGGGAGAGAGGAGCGCGTGCCAGGACTAGCTGTGGTTCGGGCAGAGCGCACCGTAGCGAGCCTAGGGAGGCGGCATGGGTCTGGGGCAGGAGGTGGCAAGGACAAGCGTTTGAGCTGTGTTTTGGGAGTGACGGTCAAGTTTTTACATTTTTATTTATCTAGCAAAAACATACATGGCAATTACCAGACACCACCCTAAGCATATTATAAATATTAACCTGGTTAATCCCATAACAAGGTTATAAGGTAGGTAGCATTATTATCCCCATTTACAGAAGTAAGTTCTGTAAGCTGCCAACCAGCCAGGGTTTGAATCGAGCATCTGTGGTTCTCTGAAGGGGGGCAGGGGTGGCGGTGCCCAGAGCCTCGGGGGCAGGTCAGGTGAGGAGATTAGTGAGACCAGAGACCCAGCGGGGCTGCAGGCTTTGTGTCTGCTTCGAGGCAGTCACAGAAGCTGTGGATGTGCTCACCAAGGGGGACTGAGGCAGTGAGAAGGGGTCTAGGATGGAGCCTGAAGGGATCCCAGAACTTAATGGCTGGGTGCAGGTGGGTGAACAAGCAGTGGAGACAAAAGGAGCAGCCCAAGGGGCAGGTAGAAAACGGGGGTATCACATGGCTGGGAGCCCGGGGTGAGGAGCAGACTGGGAGAGTAGACCGTTCTGAGTCCTGCAAGTGAGTGGCAGCTGAAGGACACCCAGGTCTGGCGACCCGGAGGTCACCCAGGGCCTGGGGAAAGCTGATAATGAGGGTGTGCTGAGAAGCCCAGGCTACCCCTCACATTCGAGAGATGCCAACTGGAAGTGGGGCAGGGAGGGAAGCTGCTGAGTCTCCGGAAACACTGATCCTCCTAAATACTTTCCATTCCACAAATATTAATAATTGTCATCCAAAAAATGACAAGTTAAGTCCATGACAAATTACGTGCCTTGCATTGTCCTGGCACTTGACTACATTGTCTCACTTAGCCCCCCGCGTGGGGCTCCGAGGAAGGGCAGCTCACTCCAGTCTCACCACTTGGGGCTGCAAGCTCCCCTGGTAGAGGGACCCCCGGTAGAGTGATCCTCAGCGAGAAGGAGGTTGGGTGGCAGAGGCCATGTCAGGGCAAGGGAGAGTGGTGAAGTGACCACTGGCCTCTGGCCATGTTATGTGCACGAAGGCTGGGGCCCCGAGTTGCCTGAGAGTCGCAGGTCTGTGCGAGGAGGTGCTGCACCCAGCCAGTCTGGGCAGTGCCCTGGGCTGTGCAGACTGCAGGAGCTGCTCAGTTAGGTGCTGGGGCCTATGTCTTGGGGGCGGCAGGATGTGCTGTCCAGGAACTTGGGGTCCTTTATGTCCCCACTGGGCCCTTAGTGCCCACACTCTCTCTGAAGACCCGCTTTGGATTTTACACCTGCTCTTCAGTTCTGTGTATGTGTTTGCAGGAAGCAAGCATTCTGAGTGGCACAAGGGTGTGCCAGTGGACTTTGTCCCGGGCTGGGTCGTTTAGATGGAATGGAGCTTCTGATTTCTGTTGGGGTAGGGCAGGAGGCCCTCACCTGCCACAGGTGAAATCTAGGACAAACTTTTCTCTGGGGGAGCCGTGCTTCCCAGCAGGGCTAATAAAACTTTGGCACAGAGAAGGCAGCTCCCACCGTGATGCGGAGGCTGGGGCAGGACGCAGGCCAGTCTTCCCACCACAGTTCTGCACACCATAGACCTTTGACCCCGTAGAACTGGGGCTCCCTACTTCTGCCAAATCTTGGAAGTTACACCAGCTTCCTGCCTCTTCATGTGGCAAGGAAAGTTCCCAGAGGGGGGGCAGAGAGTGCCAGGAAAGCCCAAACCAGACCGTTTCTGCAGAATGATTCTGGAGGCGGGGACGGGTCGTGCTCTACCTCTGCTGAGGGAACTACCAGAAGAAACCGGTTGAGGCTGCAGCTGAATGATGGTTAGACTACAGAAAGGACTTCCACACAGTGAGCCAAGAGCCTGTGGAGCAGGCAGTGGCGGGTCAGGAAATCCTTTCTGACGGCAGAACAAGGCCTCCTCCTCCCAGCCTATTCCCGTCCTTTCTCCTCCTCTCAGGAGTGAACTGGGGCAGGCTTGCCCTGCTGAGGCAGGGGGTGAGACACCATGGCCTCCAGGAGGGCCCAGGGTGGCAGCAGGCATCATATTTAACATTCTGCCTCCCCCAGTTCTGAGACACGGAGCTATTTAAAGTCCCACTTGTCCCCACACCATGGTGTCGATGACAGCCCTGGGCAGTGGGGCTTAGCACTGGGGTCGAATTCCTGACAGCTCTGGCTCATTTGGCACCTGACCAGTTTCACGGCTGTGATATTTTTGTCTCAATTTTCTGATTTTTCCAACAGACTGAAGCACCTCCGCTCTCTCTGTACCCAGCGCCTCAGTCCCCATCCACTTCCACCCGCCCTGGCACTGGGCCCCGCCTCCCCCTTTCCTCAGTGTTTACTCGGTTCTTGGCGCCTGCCAGGCCAGCCTATTGCCTTCCTGGCCTGTCTGATTGGTGGGCTGCCTGATCAGTCCCCCTCCCACTCCACACAAGCCTGGCTGAGGCGTGGGAGCAGCCATGTCATGGGGACTCCCCCTCCTTCATGTCCATCTGTCCTCTTTGCTTGTCTTGATTGTAGACTTAATGAAGAGAAATAGTGTCTCTTCGCATCCTGGTGGGGTCCTGGCTCAGCAGCGAGGAGGGTAGTTGAGGTATCTACATTGTGGGATCAAGAGGCCCTGGGACCCCGCGGCTGGGCCTTGAATGTTGTGTCCCTTGAGGAAGAAGTGGGTGAGGTCAACCTGGAAGACAGGATGAAGGAAACCGACATTTATGGGGTACCTACAGCATACGAGGCAGTAGTAGCAGCAACCATGTACTGAGCGGCATCTTGGGGCCAGGATTTCACAGATGCCATCTTGTGCAGTGGCTACTGTTTTGGTTTGTTTTTTTAAAGATTAATTTATTCATGTATACAAGAACTGGGGTACAGGCCAGAGGTACAGGGGTGAGAGGATTCACCAGGGACAGAGTGGGGAGCAGAACAGGCAGATTGTCTGAAATACACTGCTGAGGGGGGCAACGGGCGAGACCGTTGTGTGTCACCTCCCTGTAGCCCTCCCTGCAGTGGCTATGGCTAGCTTTGTAGTGCTGCACTCTAGCCCCTTGCGCCATCAGGGAGGGCCCGGTGGCTACTGTTATTAATCCCACTTTGTAGGTGAGGCAGCAGTGTCTGGTTCTGTGGAGGCTCTGGACACTGTGGGGTGTGTTCAGGCAGCAGTGGTGAGACTATCCCTTCTCCACCTAGACTTCCCTGGCTTGCAGGGAGTGGGAACAGGCGTGAGGGTCCCCTGCTGGTCAGCAAGGTGGGGGAGGAATCACTTAATATAATATGCCCTTTCCTGGTCTCTGGACTAGGTTCTTCATTAAATCCCTGTCAACACTGTTCCCATTTTACAGATGAGAAAACAGATGCAGCAAGACTAAAATAATTTGCCCAAGGATACATAGGAAATGCAGATCTGGAATTTGAGCCCTGACAGTCTGGTTCTAGGGCCTGCATTTTTTCTTTTTAAAGATTTTTATTTCTTTACTTTTACATAGAAGAGCTGGGGTACAGGCCAGAGGTGCTGGGGGGGGGGTGAAAGGGTTCACCAGAGACAGAGTGGGGAGCAAAACAGGCAGATCAAGTGAAATTCATTGTCAAGGGGAACAGTGGGCAAGACAGGAGAGGTGTGCTGCACCATGTGGGTCAGATCCCTGGCTGGGGATTGAACTTGTGCTGCAGTGGCTACAGACAGCTTCCTAGTGCTGCGCTTTAACCCTGTACACTACCAGGGAGAGACCGGGCCTGTATTCTTAATGACACTAAGTCCCAAGTCTGAGGAAAGGGTCAAAAGACCCTCCTTCTCCCTGTGCCCCCCCCCAGCTCCCACCCCCTGTGTACCTCTGAAAATCCCCTTTCCCCTGGGACGAATACCTCCCCCCCCCCCACCGTAATGGTACACATCCCAGGGGAAGGGGGATTTTGTAGAGGTACACAGTCCAAGTTTCATATTGGCTTTTGTAAGTGAAAGGCACCCCAATAAGAGATTGGACAGGCGATCAAGCAACCGCCACTCTATAGAGCCAGCTAGGCCCTCATCCTTTGCAAACCCCTCCCCCCCTCCCTCCCACCACCTTCATTGTCCAGCCACCACTCAGCTCAGTAGTCTTGTCACCTCCCCCTTCCTGCTATGGGTGACAAGGAGGCCTGGCTGGCTGCCAGTCCCTGCTGCCTTCCCCCACCTCTCTCGCATTGGCTCCAGGGCCTTTCTCCTCAAGGGTGTCTCTGCTCCTGGCCTGCCTAGGAGACCTGGCTCACGTGTTTGCCTGGGCCCATTTCCGGCCAACATTGACCCTGGGCCTTGCAGGCTTTGTGGGAGCAATGTCTGAAAAGCCACCAGATGTTCCATTTTCCAGGCTCTCATTCCCTCTCTGGGAAGGGGCAGTACCAGGTATCAGGTGTGATAACTGTTCTGTGAGGAAGAAGCAACCAGAATAATCCCCTTCAGTGGCCTCCCTGGTGGCCTAGAGGTTAAGGCTCAGTGCCATCTTAGACCTGAGTTTGATCCCCAGCCAGGGAGCTGACTGACCCACATGGCGCAGCAGACCTCTCCTGTCTCTCCCACTGCTCCCTTCAGCAGTGTGTTTCAGTAGATCCATCTGTTCTGCTCCTCACTCTGTGAGTTCTCTCACACATGCAAACTCCATACCCCCTACTCCCCACACCTCTGGCCCACACCCCAGTTCTTCTACACAAAACTTAAAAAAAAAAAGAAGAATCCCCTTCAGGACTCATAAGCAGTGAAGGCCCACTTAGGCCAAGCTGTGATCTGTCTCAAGCTACAGTGGAGGTCAGCAGGGCCTCTGCCTGGCCGTGCCTAACCCGGGCCAGACAGGCTACAGCTGCCCCTGTGCCTCCAGACACTTCCAGGCCAGGCCCTGACTGCCATTGCTCTTCCTCCAGAAGCCCTCTGCCTGCCTCAGGGAGCCGTCCTACTGTCTGGCCTGCCTGCTGCAGTACGGGATGGACAGTGGCTACTTACCCTGCTCCCTCTGCCCCCTGCCTGGCCAGTTTTCCTGGTGTGCTGCCTTTGCCTGTCCCAGTAGGCCTCTCCCACCCTGGTGCAGCCCTCCCCGCCGCCACACACACACATCCAGGGCCCCCAGGCCAGACTTCCGCTGTTCCTGTGACTTGTCCTTGCAGGTTTCCCAGCCCTCCCTCTCAGCCATGGGTGTCTGTCCACCCCAGCCCACCCTTCTTTCAGTATTTGGGCTTCTGCTGTGCCGTCTCTGAAGAAAGTGGCAGCACCACCTCCCACAAAGTCTGGGGTTCCATTTGCAAGATGGCGAGTATGTTTCTATGCCGCTGTTAATTTCCAGCAAGAAGGCGTCAGAGTTTCCCTGGGCCCACCCCAGCCCCTCCATCCCTGCCTCGGGTTCCTGCTGGCTGTTCCTCCTGGCACTTGGAGCCAGAGGAGCTGCAGCCACTGGTCTGGCGGGTTGGGCCGGCCCTGCCAGGAGGAAGCGGGCTCCCTGGGCCAGCCTCCTCCCCAGAGACTTGGCCCCTGGGATCTGCTTGATCTCCTCCTAGCTCGTCTGCTTAGGACTGCTTAGGACACACCCCAAGCTGGCTGGAGCCCCTCTACCCCACCCACTTCATTCCCGCCCCCAGAGACTGAGGTCACTGGCTCCCCTGGTGTGTGGGTGGGGCTGTTCTCACCTGCCTTTTGGGGGAGGAGACGCCCCCCCTCCCTGGGGCTGTTGTCTTAGTGATTGGGTAACCTTGGAACTTGGCTCTGAGGGAATGGATTCCTTGGCCTGGCCAAATGGAGGCTGCAGACCCCTGGCCCAGGGGGTGCAGGAAGCTGTTGGGAGAACTGGGTTGGGGGGGAGGGGCACATTTGGGCTCTCTTCAGTGGGCTCTACGTGCTCCTGCTCAGAAAGCAGGATTCTATGAGAGCCCCTTCCCAGAGTGAGATGGAGGTGAGCCTGTGGGGGGTTTTTCCCACGGGGCGGCACTCACCAGCCTCCTCCCTCCTCAGGTCTCCCTCAATGCTTGGTTCTGGTCCACAGTCTTCCACACCAAGGACACCAACCTTACCGAGGTGAGTGCCCTTTCGGCCCCTCGGCTGCTCAGGAAGGTCCAGAGGCCCAGGAGGGCCTGACTGACCACACACAGGGAGCACCTGCTTTGCAAGGCCTTCCACTGCGCTGGCTTGAGCCGACTTCACCCCTGAGAGATGGATGGTGACCCACTCTTTAACTGATGAGGCAGCTGGGCCCCAACCCCCCAGCCGGGAAAGGGGTGTGATCTGTCCTTGAAGCATAGCTGTGGAAGCCCAGACTGCACTCTGAGCTCCGTGACACGCTCTCACGTTCTGCAGGGGACCCCAACTCTGCTGCTAGGGCCCCCAGCCGAGCACTTCAGAAGTTGCTCATCTAAATCGAAGGGCCAGTCGGTGAACCCCCAGTAGGTAGAAGGAGCAGGAGATGTGGACCCACTGGCCACGGCCTCTGCCTCTGCTGCCCCTCGCCCTGTGCCCACTGGGGCCTCTTGGGACCCTCCCCTGCCACCTGCTGCCTCTGCCCACCTCCTGCCTCCTGCACACCAGCCGCTCATCAGCTCTCTCTGTCCTCAGAAAATGGACTACTTCTGTGCCTCCGCCGTCATCCTCCACTCAATCTACCTGTGCTGTGTCAGGTGAGCCCACTCAGAGCTGCAGGGGCAGAACCTGCCCTGGCCGCAGGAAGGGTGGCCCAGGCTCTTCCTGGGGGTGCTACCCCCAGCACCTTCTTCTCTGGCCCCTCCGGGTGGTCCTGGATGGGAACTCGGGTAGGACTGGGGGTCCTCGCTCTTCCCGGGAGCTGTGTGGCGCTCGTCTCACCCCTGGGGATTGGCAGTCTGCTCGGCTGGCCTGCTTTAGTGGGGAGCACAGGGGTTTCCGGGGCCGCTTCTGATGTCAGGGAGAGGGCATGCTCCAGGGAATGCTGCTCCGGGCTTGGCCACCCTGCATCCTCTGAGCAGCTCTGGGTGGCGGGGCAGGACTGTGGGGCTGCGGCACCCAGCCGTGGCCAGCGCCTTCCGGGCCTTCCTGCTGCTGCTGCTGACGGCGCACGTCGCCTACCTGAGCCTCGTCCGCTTCGACTATGGCTACAACCTGGCAGCCAATGTGACTATCGGTGAGGCTGGCGTGGGGCCGCGGGGGTTGGGGCGTGGGGGGTGCCGCTGCCAGCAGAGATTGGAGTGGGCTAGCTATGGCAGCAGGGGACCGGACTCGAGTGGGAGAGGGGCGGCTTGAAGTCTGAGGGTGGCCCCGGGGTCAGAGAGCTGGGGGCAGGGTGGTCTTGGAGGGAGAAGGAGGTCGGAGTGAGCCTCTCCCGCGCCCTGGCGCCCAGGCCTGGTCAACGTGGCGTGGTGGCTGGGCTGGTGCCTGCGGAACCGGCGGCAGCTCCCTCAGGTGCGCAAGTGCGCGCGGGCCGTCCTGCTGCTGCAGGGGCTGTCTCTGCTGGAGCTGCTGGACTTCCCGCCTCTCTTCTGGGTCCTGGACGCACACGCCATGTGGCACGTCAGCACCATCCCCGTGCACGTCCTCTTCTTCAGGTGGGTGCTCCTGCCCAGCGCCCACCTGTGCCCTGTCTTGCCCACCCTGAGGGGAGCCGGCTTCCTGCCAGGGCTCTGCCCTCCCCACCTGCCTGTACTCACCCGCCCCGCCCCGCGCGCTCAGAGCCCTGCCTCAGTGCACTCCTCCCTTGGCCCACAGCTTCCTGGAAGACGATAGCCTGTATCTGCTGAAGGAATCAGAGGCCAAGTTCAAGCTGGACTGAAGGCCCTGGCGCGGGTCTGGACTCCTGGGGATCCCGTCCCCTCCCTGTTGGCATCCCTTCTTCCCCCAACCCTTGAAATCATTCATTTTTCTTTCGCATCTTGAACTTGGACATGCAGGGTGTGTGGGCCCAGAATCATGTAACCTGCCCACCCCCGAGTACACCCCTGCCTGGTGCTCACAGGTCTTGGGGTCTGTTTGGGCCTGGCCCCCCAGCATATGGGGCTAGGAAATGGACAGCCCCGCTGGCACCTGAAACTGAACTGGGGCGGAGCTGTGCTCCTAGGGCCTCTGAGAGGAGCCCTGCTTTCTCCTCCTCAGCCTCCTCACATCCTCTCACACCTAGTGGCTTCCAGAGTCCTTTGGGAGACCAGGTATCACAGGCAGGCCTTGGGGGTACCGTGGGCCCCCTTCTGTTGCCCTCCCCCGTGTCCTCCTCCAGAGTGCCGCTAGGTGGCGCTAGATACTTGCTCTTTGGCCACTCAAGCTTCAAACCAGGTCCTTTTCTTTCCGTGGGATTTTGAGGGACCAAGCTGCTTGGGGATGGAGAGCGGTCTCACCCAGACTGTCACCCACAGGCCTCATCAGAAAGCCCACGACAGGACTACTGTGGCCCCTGTGCTGCGGTTCTGATTGGGAGTCTGCAGATGAGCGTAAAGGAGTGTGGGCCAGGCGAGTGCCGAGTGGGGGTGGTCAGTTTTGGGTATGTGGGGGGAGCAGGTGAGTTAGTGTGGGTTAGAAGACTACAGAGACAGATGTGAGCTGCTGGCGAGTGTGCCACACAGCGGGGAGTCTGGAGAAGGGGATTAAGCAACTATTTATTGAGTACTAACGTTGCCAACGCCCTAGGCCAGGCAAAGAGCCAGATTATCCTTAGGCCCGGCTTGGGGTTTGAGTCCAGGCTGTGTGTGTGTGTGTGTGTATGTGTTCCACTGCCCCCTCCTTGGCAATCCTCACGGGGCCCCCATACAACTCAAGATCACCCTCCAGAACCAAAAGACAGAGAGCAGAAGGCAAATGGGGGTTCTCTAGGCCCTTTCCTGCCTCCCGGCCTCCGCCTCCGCATGGCCCATCTCCCCTGCCCCAGCGCCTGCCTGCTCAGCTCTTTTGTGGAGCCTTCTGAGGGAGGAGGCTCCAGGCTGGGCCCGGCTTCTGGCCTCCCCAGAGGCAGGCAGGAGCCACACCGTGCCAGTGCCCTGGTCAAGGAGCCCGCCGCCCTGCCTGGCAGCAGCCTGAGCACATTCCTGCTCCACAGGGATGGACCTCGGAACCCCAGAAACGCCCCCCCCACCCAGTCTGTGGAGAATTCCTGTTGAATTCATGGCTTGCCTCGCTCCTTTGTCCCTCCTTAGGATGGGGCACTGTGCTGGACTCAACCGCAGGGACCTGGGAGCTTGTGTTCATTTCTTTTGGTACTGAGACTATTTTAAGGTGGGAGGGAAGCAAGGGGCTTTCTTAATAAACCAAATCTCAGCCTCACTACCTTGTGCACTCATCTGTGTGAGCAGGGAGTGAAGGCCGTGGAGCTGGCAGGAGGCAGTGGAGGGGTGGGGTCTCCTCCTAGGCACTGGGGTGGGGGTGGCGGGGCCAAGACGCAAGTAGCAGCCGCTAACAGCTAAGCCCAGCCTGGGGTAGGGGCTTGGTGCCAAGGGAGGGGATTGGTGCCAGCTCTCCCCTCGGTCTCCCGGTCGGTCTTTGGGCCTGATCCTAACCCCACTGCCACTTCCACCTCGGTCTCCCAGTGTGCGGGCCTCTCCTCCCCGCTGTCCTGAACTGGCTCTTCAGCTGCCGCTGGACCCCTGTTAGCGGCTAACCTTTCTGGACTTCACCTGCAAACAGTAACAGCACCTGCTGCTGAGTGCGAGGACTGAGGAGAGCCTGGCCCACAGCAGATGCTTCATGACCTCTGTCTGACCTCGGATTTCCCTCGTTTGTGAAGAATGAATGGAGCAGTCTACCCTCCTGGAAGTTTCTGGGAAATAGGGCCAGGGCTGGTAGCTCCCACACACCTGAGTGCTCTGTGCCCCCGTTGCTTCCCAGGAGAGCCCCAGAGAAGGCCGACGCCCAGGAGCAGGGAGTTGGGCCTTTATTAGTGCCACACCAGACACTAGGGAATCCGGCGCTGAAAGCCGTCGGCGGTGGCTGTGCCGCCCTCACGCGCCCCCCTTCTTCTGAGCCCAGGCGAAGAAGATGCCCTTGACGTCATCCACACCTGTCTGGAGGTGGGCGGGCATGGCGTAGGTACGCAGGTCCCGCACCTCGTAGCCGCTGCAGACCAGGGCCTCCCTCACCTCCTCCTCACACACGGGCACCACCACCAGCCTGACCTCCCCAGCCAGGTACCACGACTCCTCCAGGCCCCCGATGAGCAGGAGGTGCCCCCCAGGCCTCAGCAGGGTGGTGATGTGGTCCAGGGCCCGCTGGAAGCTGGCCAGGTCTGGACTCACGGACTCCAGGCAGAAGGTAGAGACCAGGGCATCCGCAGGCAGGGGCGCGGGGCTGCCGGTGCCCAGGGGCTGAGGCTGGTGCACGTCAATGGGCAGGACCCGCTTCACCCTGGCTCGAAGCTGGCGCTCCTTCTCCTGCCAGGATTCGCTGCGGAGGCAGAAGGCAGGGTCAGGACCATGGCTACGGCCGTGCTCAGCCCTCTGCTGGGAAGCCCCTGCCCTCCCCCGCCCCGCCCTTACCCCTTGCCCTCGATGAGGCAGACATGCCGGCTGTACACGCTCCAATCGAAGGCTCCCGGTTCCTCCCGCAACCAGAGCCCCAGCTCCTGGCGGTTCACCTCCAGGAAGTCCGTCATGGTGATGTCCTCAAAGTGGGTGCAGGCACTGAGCAGCTGGTATATGGTGGGGCCCGACCCAATGTCGATGAGGGTGCGTCCAGACACCTCACCTGGGCAGGGTGAGGAAGAGGGAGGCAGCCTCTGTCACTGGCTCCCGTCGCTGCTCCCAGCCCTCTCTAGCTTTCCCGTCCCTGTCTGTCTGAATAAGCTTGAGCTCTGGAGACAGACTAGCCAGGGGTTCCAGTCCTGGCCCCGACAGCCACTGGCTTTCCTGGGACGGAACGTCACCCTCCCACCTCTATCAAACTGCAGCTACCGGTGAGCAGCGGGAAAACCCAGAGACACCTGCTGCTTCTGTCCCCCAGGCCCTGTCCTGCCTGGTTGCTGCCTCCACCTCTTTCCTGCATCCCCCACCGCTTCTCAGTTCTGGGCATTCTCTCCCCCGCCACCCCTCTCCTCTGCCCTCAGCTAAGGGATTCTGCTCCTCTTCCCCTCCTGTCTCACCTCTCTCTGCTTCTTGGTTCCCACCCAGCTTTTCCTCACCCCGCGCCCCTTCGTGACTTCTTGTCCTCTGTGCCTGTTTCTAGTACTCACCGGTGGCAAAGGTCTGCGCCAAGCAGCGCAGCTTCCAGGGCCCGACCCCGTCGGGGTGGCTCAGGTCCCCCCGCGGGGGCATGTAGTTGTTGCGGAGATAGGCCTGGGGCTCGAAGCGCTGGTAGGCCAAGGCCACGGCGGCCTGGCCGTGGCCAGAGACGGGGCCCGCGCCTGCTGCGTGACTCGGGTCGGGCCCGCTCATGCTGCAGTCTCGGCCTGTCTGGCCGCTGCTCCTCCCGTGGCCCTTTATCAGGGGCCGGACCCCTCCGCGGGGGCAGCGATGGGAGCGATGAGCCGCCTGGGGCCACACTCATCTCCCCTGACCCCATTCATCTCCTTTAGTGTCGGAGCAGCAGACACCAGGGTGGGGATGCCACTGGAACATCTGTTCCGGCCCTACTCCCCGGGGGCTCCCTCCGCCCTCTGCTTCACCTGCCTGGCCCAAGCCCCACTCCCAGGCCCCCACCTCGGCTTCCTACCTCCGCCCCCATCAGTCCCTGGTTCCTCTGGTTGCTCTTCTCCAGCTCCTGCAGCCCTCACCCCTTTTGCCCGGTAGCCCATCCCTAGTTTTTCTGGGTACGAATTAGCCCCTTCCCCTGGGTCCTGCCTCCAAGGGCCCAGAGCCGCAGCAGGCTACTCTTGCTCCAGGACACCCGTTCCAACATACACCTCTTTTCCTTAGTAAGGTCGCCCCAAGTCCCCTTCTCCGCCCCTCCTCCAGGCCTGTCTTTAGTTCTTACCTGCCCCACCCCTGTCCTCCAGGGCCCCCAGCACCCACTGCAGAGGACAATCTGTTCTGGCCTCTAGCAGGGTCGCCCCGGGGCCTCAGAGCAGGGCTCCAGCCCCTCCCGTCTGATGACAGCGGCGATAGGGAAGCCGAGCCGGGCTGACGCACTTAACGATGGGAACAGCCTGGCCTCCCCTGCGGGCTCTGAGCGCTTATCAGGCCGAGGGCGGAAGGCTCAGGACGTCCCTGCCACGTCTCGGGCGCAGGGCCCAGGTGAGGACGCGGGGCGCGTTCGCCAGGTTTCCAGGCCACCAGGGGGCGCAGACTGGGCCTTCCAGGGCCCAGACTTTGGGGTCGCACCGGTCTGCGGTCTTTGACCCGTCTCCCTGCCCACGCTCCAAGCCCTTCTGGGGGCGCCAGACAACCCAAGTCTGCTGGTCCTGCTTGGCGCTAGGGTACCAGGTGGTCAAGAGGCCAGGGTGGCCCCCTCCTGCCCTCCGAGGTGGAAAGTGGACTGTGCCGGTCTATTCCATGGTGTCCGGGGGGGACCGCCTCCCAGTCTGGTGGCCGGCCCTGGGGAGGGCAGCGGCCCCTACAAGAGGCCCCTGCCTCGGGCATGTCGCCCACGCCCTCTAGATTGCCCCAAGGGTAAAGTTCCTCCTTGGGCCAGGTTGGAACATGAGTCACGGCGACAGCTGCAGGGGTCACAGACAGGAACATGACCGTCCCCACTCTTCCCCGACAACCCACCCAGGCTCCCAGGGCAGGGAGGGTTCTGCCTGTGCCCAGCCAAGGGCTGATTCCTGGGTCTAGCCGGATTCAGAATTGAGGAAGGTCAGCCCTGGGGGCACTGACCCTGCACAGCCAAGGGCAGTCCTGGTGCCAGACCCCACCTTATTCTCCATGGGATCATTTAGACAAACCCTGGGTGCCAGCTGGCTTGTTGGGCACTGCCCAATGCCAGAGGGCTGGGCACAGAGGCCAGGGCATCGCAGTGAGGGGCAGAAAGGAGACTGGGCAGATAACCTCCCTGCTCACAGCCCTGTCTCCGTTGTGCCCCTCCCCCCAAGCAGGGGGTGTACCCACCATTAGCTCTGCCATATTTAGCTCAGAAGCAGGGACTATTCCCAGAAGTGAGCACAGGGGACACCAGTGAGCTGGCCCCCATAATCACGAGACAGAATTCTGGAATATTCTCGAGCATTTATTGCAGACTAACTGAGGGTGCTAGGGCCCCACCCAGCCTCTGCCCTCTTCACGTCCCCCTCCCTCCCATCTCCAAGCCTCCTCCCAGAGCCTTCCAGACCCCCTTATCCTTCCTCCCCCCCTCCCTCCGGTCCTCTGAAGCTGAACCTGGACCGGGGTCACTTCTTTTGCTCCCCCCCAGCAACTCCTGTCTCTTCTCCTGGGGTTGCAGGCCCTTGGCTCCCCAGCTCCAGTGCCACTGTCTTTCTTCCCTTCCCCTTGGGAACTCAGGGAACCAGGCATCCTGGCCTCTGGCCCCTCTGACCCTAGCCCCCAGTTCTGGGTAAACTACAAAGCATCCACGGCCGGCAGCTCCTTCCCGTGGTCCTAGCCAGAAGCGCCGACCCAGGGCAGGTGGAGCCGAGTCAGTCCCGCTCAGCCTCTCTGTGCTTCCTGGGACATGGAGCGGGACAGGGAGCGGCGAAGGGCACCAGGCTTGCTGACGGGCATCACTGGGGGCAGCTGCTTGGTGATCTCAGCCACATCCTGGCGCTCTGCACACTGGCCACCGAGGGCTAGCTCCAGCTGGATGGGGCTCTCCTCGCGTTCCTCCGCGGAGGTGCCCACCTTGGTGGGGGTGAAGATGGGTAGGGGCAGCACCCGCTGGTAGGGCAGCAGGTACTCCTGCAGCCCGCGGCCAAGGATGCCCATTCGCATTGTCAGCCAGGGGGAGCGCTGCACCAGTGCCTGGCACTGCCCCTGCTGGTGGTAGGTCTCATGCCGCGCTGTGTCCTCCTCGTGCAGGGAACAACTGGAAGGAGAGGGGAGAGGACCCTCAGCTCCTGGGAGCAGGCACCCTCTAGTCTCAGACAGGGCAGGGGCTCCCTGGTGTTCCCGGGACCGGGACCTGGGGAGCAAGAGGGGGGCTCTACCTCCCCCACACCCAGAAACTCCTCCAGGCTGTGCCCTCACCCATGAAAGCTGCGGGAAGGTGCTCTAGGGGAGGACAGGGCACCAGTGGGCCGCTACTCACTTCTCCTCAGGCCGTGTGGACAGCGTCAGATCCTTCCATTCAGCCCAGAAGGCTTCTCGGCGCTCTTGGTTCTCCTCCGACACCTGGCAGCTCAGCTCCAAAGCGGCCATGGTCACTCCTGCAGTCAGGGCTCTGCTCCTTCCGGGCCCTTTAAATAACCCCACCCCTCCTCCAGAGGGGCTATTTTCAGCCCCTCTGACGTCAGAGGCTATAAGCAGAGCCCAGGTTCACTGATGGGGGATTCAGCCCAGAGCGGGGGTTGGGGTACCTGGACTCTGGCTGCCCCCAGGCCCCGGGTTAAACTTTGAAAAAGCAAGATGACTTAGACGGGCCAGGAGTCCTCACAGTGACCCCCCAAGTGATTGCTGCTCCTCAGACACTGTCTGCCGCCAGGCACATGTCCAGCCACGTGCCACTTGGCACCTGCCCTCTGCCCCACCCCTCCCCCCGTGGCAGGGAGGGCAGCACTTGTTGTAAACAGAGCAGGGGATGCAGGAACCCAGGCCCCTCTGGCTCTGAACCAGGCCTCCCTTCCTGCCCCTGCCCCCTTCTGCCTGGCTCAAGGGCACAACCCAACCCATGCCCCTCAACAAAAGGGGCAGTGCCCTCAGGTCCTCGGGCATCTGCACCCCAAGACCTGGCCTCCAAGTGCCACCACATGTGCAAGGGACTGAGCCGCACACCAGGCCCCGGCCAGCGTTCACCTTTCCCCGCCAGTGGTCTCAGAGGTGGCTCCCAAGTTGGGCCAGCCAGGGTGGTGGGAACTGGGGGGAAGCTGCCTCCAGACTCCCCTCAGTACCCCAGGCTGCAGGAGATGGAACCCAGGGGTAACGATGAGTGGCAGCCAGAAGACCAGACTCGAGCGCCAAGTCAGCCATAAATAGCTGTCACTGGGGTCAGCCTCTTCCTCTCCAGGCCTCACTTTCCCAATTTTCTGGTGGCAGTGGACTGACCAGAGGTGCTCCACGCCCTGCCAGCTCCAACGTGCCATCTGGCAAGGGACTGGCTCATTCACAGCAAGAGGGCCCAGCACTGAGAGCTGCAACCCACGGTGTGAGAAGCTGGCACACAGGGTGGCAGGTTCTGGGCAGACGGGCAGGAGGGACAACAGAGCGAAGGGCAACAGAAAGGCAGAGCTGAGGCCCTGGCGGGGCTGCGCGGGGCACCTGGCAGCTGGGAGGCCGGGGCGCCCGGGGCAGAGCTGCACCCTCTGTTACGGGGTTAGAGGCCTGGCAGCTTTTCACCTCTCAGCAGCCCAAGACCTAGTGAGTCTCCGCTTCACGCGGCTCAGGCCCACACACCAAGCAGCCTGGGGCCAGGCTCCCAGGCGCTCCGCGAGGGTGTGGATGGAGCGGAAGGGGAGCGGATCCCAAGAGGCCGTGCGCTCCCTGGCCAGGCCCCAGAAGTGCCTTGATGGCCCTGAAGTGGACTGGGCACTGCTGTGGGTACCGCCCCATCGGCCCCTCCGCCCCCCACTCGCAGGCTGGGGACCTCAGCCTGACCTCCCCTTACCGGAAGCCGGCCAAGGGGTGGGGCGTCCCACCAGCCCTCCGCCCAGCTGAACCACCCCACAGAGGAGGGGGTTCCAGGAACCAGCTGGGCCTCCTGTGGCCTCAGAAGCCCAAGAGGGCACTGAGGGACTAGGCGGGGGCTCCTCCCCACCCCCAGAGTGCTGCCCCCTCCTTTCCCTCAAGAGGCCAGGCAGGTGGCGCGATCATGTTGGTTCTTTTTTCCCCCTTGAGTTCATGTTTTTTATTGGCTCAAATCACAAAGGTCTCCGCGGAGGCCCCGGAAGGGAGAGAACCTGGGAGAGGCAGAGGCTCATTGCCGGCACCGATCACCCCTGCCTGCCACCCACTCCCCCACAAGTGCATGTGGAAAGGTCCCAGACCTTTGAAATCCTGAAAAATCATGAGAATGCAGGTGAATGAAAGGGCTCCCGCACCCAGCACACTGGGGGCTGGGCTGCCCTGACCGCCGTCCTGCCCTGGCCGGTGCTCCCCGCCCAGTCTTGCAGGCTCCTAGTCCCCTGGGGGGCAGGGACAGCAGAGCTCCTCTGGGAGACAGGGGCGCCGTGGAGACACCAGCAGCAGGGCCCCGCGGTCCAGCCCGCGGTCCAGCCCCGGCTACGGGCACCAGGTGGGAGGAAGCCCCGTCCCCACTGCCTGAGGCCAGTCCACTGTGGGCGGCAGAAAGCCCAGCTGGCCCACGCCGGCTCTGGAGACCGTGGACGGGCCCCTGGCCGGCAGCGTGTGCCTAGGCCCGGGCCCCCAGCTCTCCGATGCGCTGCCGCAGGTGGAAGGCAAATTCAAACATGGTGGCTGCGAGGCTCTGGTGGATGAGGTACCGAGGCAGGCGGCCCTGGGGGAAGGTGAGAAGTTCCAGGAGGGTCCACCCCCAGCAGGGGGCCCCCCTCTCCAACTGGTGAGAGCAGGGATGCTCTGGGCTAGACTGCAGGCGCAGTGCTGAATGCAGCCTAGGCCACTGTCTCCCCTCAGCCCTGGCAGGAAGAACATGCTGCGCCAGGTCTTGGCACGGGCCACATAAACAGACCAGACCCAGGAGGGCTGGGCCAGCTGCCAGCCAGCCGTCTGGGGGCCTCAGGGGCCAGAGGAAGAAGGGGGAAGCCCACCGGGCCATCCAGAAGCTCAGGGCGAGACGGTCACCTGGACTCTGATCTAAATTTTAGAGTAAGGTGGAGCTCAGGGGAGGCGCTGTGCTGGCAGGGAGGCCCTAAGGTTATGAAGCAGAGTCCCCCCCTCAACCGAGCAGCTCCAGCACCCCCACCTTGAGATCTGTGTTCAGGATCCAGATGAAGGTGCAGACTCGGGGGTTACTGGTCGACTTGAGCACGATGAAGCCCCCAGGACCATTCTCTCCCCTAAGGAGAGAGAGACCACTGAGGGGAGCTGGGGCGACCTCCCCATCTCGGGCCCATCTGGGACAGCAGGTAGAGGAGGGAAGGGAGGTACTGTGCTCGTCTAGGACTCAACTGCCCTCTGAGCAGGGTCCAGACAGGTGGCCCAGAGGCCACAGGATACGGTCTTCCACCCCCAGCCAGCATGTGATGCTTGAGTCCTCCTACGACAGCCGGAGATGCGTGCACCAGCCCCGTGGCAGGGAGCACCACCTTCCCCGCCCTCACCCACCCTGCCAGGGACTCCGAGTCCCGGCTGTGGGCCTGGGCTGGGCGGACACAGCCCACCTCCGCCCAAGCCAGGGAGCAGTGCAGTGGCGGTGGACTCCGGGAGGGGGCGCCGCACAGGAGGTGGTCAGGGCCTGGGCTGTCTGGGTCACTCGCCATGGCCAGTTCTCCACTAAGCACCCTAAAGCCACTTCCTCAATAAGGAAGTTAGCACCCAGAGAGCCAAGAGCCTGCCTTCACCCAGCAAGTCTAGTGGTGCTGAGCCCAGGGCCCCCCTCAAGGGCAGAGCTCTCTGCACAACTCCATATGGAAGGGAAGCGCAGGGTATGCGGGAGGAGGCAGCTGCAGCACTGCAGCCTGAGATTAGCCCCAGGCAGCAGGCGGCTCCTGCTCCTTTGGGAGACCCGAGTGCTCCGGGAGAAACAGGCAAGGCCGGGGTGACAGGTGGAGGGGACCAGGTCCCCTCAGGCAGGTAGAGCTCCACTCAGCTCCTGGCCTGCTCCAGCCCTGGAGCGGCCCATCTGGGCATCAGTCCCAGCCTCCAGCAGACAGAGCAGCAGGGGGAAAGCCCAGCAGCCGGGGGGCCGGGAGGCGGCCTGTTGGGAAGCCGCTCTCAGCTCGGTGCACAGTACCTGGCCCTGTTCTCACAGCCGGCAGGGGAGGGGCCGGCAGGGCGCCGAGGGCAAGGAGCGGCTCACCTGACGTATTTGTGCGAGGGGGGCTTGGCACAGTGGGTGGTGGCGATGCCTGATGACAGGTACCGATCCCTGCGTCGCTCGATGCGACGGACGTTCACAAAGTCCCTGGAGAGAAAGGGTTAGGTCACGTGCCACGCCCGAGGGCAGGGGGCCTGCAGCGAGGGGGGAGCCTCACCTGGGGGAGACGACACCGCCTGCAGCCCCCGCAGACACGTCGTAAGAGACGAGAGTGTTGTCTTCTACTCGCTGCAGGATCTGTGGTCGTCAGGGAGACATGAGGCGGTGCCCACCCCAGGAACAAAGTCCTGGCACCCCAGGAAACCTCCAGGCCATGCTCCTCCTATACAGGTCCTTTGCTAGGAGCCATTCTCAAGGTCAGGCCCTGGGCCGGCTCCTACAAACGCCCCCTTCCCACCTTTTGCCTCTCTCCAGGAGCCATCGTTAGCTTTGCCCCAATTGCACAGACAGGGACGCTGAGACAAAGCAGGTCAACAGTATGCCCTGGTTCCCTGGGGGTCAGAGGCCATCTGACCCTCCGTGTGGCCCTGCCTCTGCCCGAGGGTGGCCAGCAGGGCCGGCCACTCACCTGGCAGGCGGTCACCGTCTTGTTCCACAGCACCATCCTCTCGGGCTGCAGGATCACCTCCTGGTACACCAGCTCCGCAGGGCAGGGCAGGAAGGTCTGGGCGGGGAACACAAGGTTGGGCAGTGCCAGGCACCCGCTCTCCCCTCCCAGTGGGGACCCAGCCAGAGGCCTCTTCCAGGAGTCCCCGACAGCGGAGGCTCTGGGACGCCGGCCTCCCTCGCTCACCTTCAGGATGTACGTCTTGCCATGAAAGGGAACCTCGATGGTGTACACAGTGTCCCCATATTCCTGTGGCAGGGACAGGAGGGTGGCCAGGTGGGCAGGTGGCGGGGGAGGGCGTGGGGTTGGGCTGGTGGCACAGGAGTGGGAGTCAGGCAGGGCGGGTTAACAGTTCAGGGTAGAAAACACCACGAATTTGGGAAGAGCTGCGCAGCGGCTGAAGGACGATGGTGCGCAAGGAGAAGCGCTCCGGGGATCAAGTTAAAAGGCGGCAGCACAGCTGTGGCCGTGACTGGGGGTGTGCCCCGGCCCAGGAGCGCGGCCAGCGGCACAGGCCAGGAAGTGGAGCCACGAGCAGGCCTCCCCTCTGTTTTCCAAGCTCTCTGCAATCTTTTCAGATAATGCTGTTTTGATCATGAAATAGAACACCGGACACAGGGCAGAAGCCTGGCTTCCCCTTCAAAGCTTGGAGCCAGGGAGCAGAGCAGCAGGGCGGTGGGGGGCGCAGAGGGGCGGGGGGTGCCCGGGGCAGGGCGGTGGAAACCGTCAATCCAGCCCCACCTCCTGCAAGAGGCCAACCCCAGGCCCCTCTGCTGAGGCGAGACCCAGTGCAGACCGTACTGTCCTTGGGCTCATTTCTCAGGCCTCAGAGAAGGGAGCAAAAACTCCCAACGCGGGGGGTAGGGTGGCAGGGAGGGTTCTTACGTTATTCTTCTCGAACTTCCAGTTCTCCTCCTGGGCCAAGATCTGGTCCACCACCGCCGTGGCCTCCTTGCCCTGGCGGATGTACTCACGCTCCTGACCGGGATGGGAGGCGGGAAAGGTCGCTCTAGGCCTGCACCCCACCTTGCTCCTGGCCCATTCTTTCCCTGAATAATCCGTACCCCTCTCAGACAAGCCTAACCTAGCCGGCATGGGCTCTAGGCTGGACTCCTGGGCCCTGCAGGGTGCCAGGGCCGGAACTGCAGCTTGGAGGCTGCCTGGGCGGCGGCATGGGGCTGCCAGGAGACTGGCTGACGGCAGGGTGGATGCTTAGCGGGCACCGACGGGCATGTGGGCAGCCTGAGGTCAACCTGTCCACCCCGGCCGTGCCCAACAGTGGCCCTTCCCCTGGGTGTCCACTCTAGTAGGATGGGGGTGGGCAGACAAGTACCTGGGCAGAGAAGCTCTTCTTCCCAACTTCTTCATCTGATTCATTATCAGACCCTGCAGAAAACAAGCAGGGATGACAACGGAAGGGCGGGAGAGTGCGGGAGGAGAGGGGTTCGGGTTCGTGAGTGCAAGGATGCCGGGGGAGAAGTGTGTGTGGGAGAGGGTTGCTGGCTTTCCCCAGGGAGCTGATAGAAGAACAGAAAGAACAGGCCCAGCCTACCCAGCTCCTCAGAGAGCCCCTCCCTGAAGGCAGCTTCCCCCACCAGCAGCCCTCACCTGCGAAGGATTCAGGGGGTGAGTAGAACTGGCCCTCGGACAGAGTTCCAGGGAAGAGCAGAGGTCCTCGGGCAACAGCAGCCTGAGCAGCGAGATACCCTGGGGAGAGGACGCGGGAAGCCACTGTCCCAGACTGAGGGCGGCGCGTGCCGGCACCCCCCACCCTAGGGCCCCCCTAAGCTCCTGGAGGCTGTTCGGAGTTGACAAGATAGCTCAGAACTGTCTCGAAACTGATTCTTGTGCCCAAACTCTTGTCTCTTGGGGCTGGGCTGGCCCCTCTGCGCCCCCTTGCTCCCCGCACTCACATCGCTCCTCCTCAGCCTCTTGGGGGAGGACTTTGAAGTCAAGGAACCAGGTCTCCAACCAGGCAAGGACAAAGGAGACGATGGGGAGCAGGTAGCCGAACGCCCCTTTGTTGAGCAGCTGTGGAAGGAGAGGGCTGAGCGCCACGGAGGAGCCCCGGAGCCCTCCTCGGCTACCGACTCTGCATACACCCCACTCCTGGCACCAGCTGTTTGGGGACCCTCTGTGACACATGGCTGACATATGGCTCTAAGGTGGATTAATGAGTTCTACAGCACAACAAATTCTGTTTTTGGGGTTCCGGGGGGGTTAAGTGGGGGAAGCCAGTGAAAGGACTCCTTGGAAATAGCAAACGAAAGCACTCTCCTTCCCTCCACCCTGACAACAGGGGCAGACACCCCCGAAGAAACACCCCTTAGGAGAAGCCCATCCTTCAGGCCTGATGCCCCCAGACCAGCAGGCCCCGGCCACTGACCTCAGAGAGGATGACCTTGACGATGAGGAACGCACTGGACACCAGCGTGGTGACCTGCGCAGGAGAGCGAGGGCGTAGAGCCGGAGATCGGGGCTCGGGAGGGAGCGCTCCGCCACCCCACCCTGCGCCAGCCCTGCGGGGCGCTACAGGCGCCAGGAGAGTGGCATCTTACCGCAATCACCCACCAGTGCCGGAGCCGCAGCACCGCGTAGCCCAGGAGCAGACCCGAAAAGCGGAAGAAGGCCAGGACCTAGGGACGGGGAGACCGCGGAGGCAGGCTGACTTCTCCCGGCCGGGCACCCCACAGGCTGCGCCTGACTGGGGAGAGGCCCAGTCGCTGCTTCTTTGGGGCGATGTGGATTTCCCCTTCTCAGACAGGGTCTTTGTCTTCCCCTCCCACTGGCGTGCTCTGCAGAGGGGCGCTCTTTAGGAAGCTCTGAAGCCTGGGGGCACCTTGAGAATGGGCACCAGATCCCCCTGACCAGACATGTGTGTTGCAGAAAGACCTATCAGCCCTTCTTCCTCTCGGCCCCCAGCCCCCCCCAACCCCCAGGTCCCATCAGACCACTCACAAAGATGTCAAAGAAGGAAGTTTTAAAGCTGTAGTGGATGATCTCCTGCTCCAAGTTCTTCCGAATGCCTGTGTTCGTCTGCAAAAGGACAGTATAGAACAGCTCTTGGGGAGAACCAAGTCCCGGGGGCTCCCTTACCTTCTGGAAGGGGGAGCATGTAGGGGGGAATCTGGAATTGCTAAGCCACTGCTGAGGGAGGCCCCCCAACGCACCAAGGGAATCAGCCAAAGGCCTGAGACCCCAGGCACAATGTGGGCCCACAGCCCAGAGGCAGGGCTGGGCTCCAGCGCCCAGGCTCATGGGCACCGGCCCCGGGCGGGCGGCCATGGAGCAGCCGCGGTGGCGCAGGTAGGCAGGGCCGGAAGACAGGTGCTAGGCGCCTGCACTCACATAATCTCTTCTCCCTCCCATACTGCAGTGTTCCATCTTCCCAGCCAACATCCATCTGGGGTGATAGGGGCTGGGGGTGGGCAGCCGCGTCAGACAGAGCCCCAGGTGCAAATCAATTGATTAGGTTTCTGCTTAATGGGCAGAATCCATCATGCTGCTGGAGAGGATGGTGTAGCAGAGAACAAACAGATATGCCCTTGCCCTAGCCCCCACTCCAAACACCCACACTTTTTTACAGGGACCCCAAAGACCGTGGCCTGGACTCCAGTGTCCAAGGATCTGGGGAAGGAGGGGGTCTGGATGGACACTGAGAGCCAGACTGCAGCCTGACTCCTCAGGAGGAATGGGGTCGCAGGCCTAGGCTTCTGCAGGTGGGGTGTCAGCACCCTGGAGAAGGGAGGACACAAGGGAGCCCCAAGAAGAAAGACCACAACCACCGAGACCAGAGCTTCCAATCTCTGAATCTGGCGGGGAGGGGATTGGTTAAAGGTAAGGGTGTGGATCTCAGCTGAGCTGAGTATCTGGAGTTTATATAAAGCTTCCAGAAGATTCTGATTCTCAGGGAGGAGCGAGCAGTCTGGACAATCCCCTGCCTGACACTCAAACCTCTCCTGCATTCCCCTCTGTGTGCCTCTATCTCAAAACTACACTGAGCCCCCCAAGGCTGATACCCCACCCCTGCCAGGGCGGGACATGCACTGTGGGCCAGGCTGCCTCTCCCCCCCTGCCCCTCAAGAGAGCAGTCCTCTCTCGGGTCTCCATCCTCTGCCCCTGTCCTCACAGAGAACGCTCCCACCTCCGGCACCAGCCGCCTCGGCACTCAGGGCAAGTCCTGCTCCTGGCCTGGCCGGGCTCTGCCAGGGCCCTCTTCTCCACAGCCTGGCGGGGAACTACCAGTACACACGCTCCAAAATGCACAAATGAGACCGCGAAATTGAGAACAAAGATTTAAAAAAAATGTTAATTGTCCACCAACTAAAACATCATACTAACACTACCAAGGATCCATTCGCTGCCTACCACGTGCAACGTCACAAACTCTACTAATATGGAATCTGCATTCCGCAGCTCCGCATTGCACGTGCGAACAATGTGGAGACCAGCAACTCTCGCTGGCCCCCAGTCTGCAAGCGACTCCGAGCTGCTGCAGCCGGTACAGCCAATCTCAGAAATAAGATGCTCAAACCTTTTCCACTGACGCTTCCTGGTGGCCTCAGGGTAAATCTTAGCCCTAGCACCACATCCCCGGCCAGGGAGTGGCCCACAGGGCCGGCAGGCCTCTCCTCACCCGCCCGCGCCCGCTGCTCCCCTCAGCAGTGTGTTTCGAGAGATCCGCCTGTTCCGCTCCCCACTCTGTCTCTGGTGAATCTTCTCACGCCCCCAACTCTGACCTACACCCCAGCTCTTCTATGCAAAATAAATAAACCTTACAAGAAAGGATAATTCTTTTTTTTAAAATTCTTTTTTCACTTCTTTTCTGACAAGAAAATATGTACTGAATAGGCATGTGGGTGACATTTAGCATCTGCTCTGATGCTCTGATGCTGGGGAGCGCCCCCACCCCAAGGGCGCTGACACTTCCTGGGCCTCAGCCTCTGCATCCTAGACCGGTGGCTGCCAGTGCAGCCCCAGGGCACGGAGGACATGACCCTGCCGAGCTGGCCGCGCCTCTGGCTCACACACCCAAACCAGCATATCCTCTTCGCCCCTACCAACAGCCCCTCTGCCAACACCACGCTCCTGCCAACAAAGGCATCGTCTCCCACTCAGACCTGGGCGAAGGGCACCTGCCACCCACCACGCCGCCCCGCTTGGCAGGGGGCGCATGGGGGAGGCTGGGTCTCTTCCTGAAGCCACAGTTAGTGCAGAGGCGGTGCTGGGCTGGCGGAGCCTGGGTGCCCGTCCCGGGGCCCCGTCGGTGAGCGCAGGTCTCGTCCCTCGGCCAGCTGGAGAAGCACTGACCGGGCAGAGGTGCAAACCCTGCACTGACAGGCAGCTGTCTCCAGGCCGCTAGGCCGCGTCCTACCAAACCCCAAGTCAACTGGGGGACACCAGAGGCGTCTCATACACCGCTTTACTCCCTACGGTATCCCCTGCTTTTAGCATGGTGCCCAGGACACAGTAGGCTACAAAAATGCGAGGTGAGTGAATGAATGGGCCAGAGGGCAAAGCAGGGTGGAAAGAAGACTAAGCTAAGGTTTCAATAGCTCAACCAGAGCCCCCAGGACCCGCCTCTCAAGAGTGTCCACTAGGGGGCAGTGTGGCCAGAGGTCAGGAGGGAGAGTCCTGAGCCAGAGGGCCTGGGGTCAAACCTTCTTCCGCCTGCTTGCTGAGGCTTTAGACAAATAACCCAGCCTGCCTGAGCTCTGTTTTCCTCATCTGGAAGAAGACACCAGCCCCACTGAGAAGGGACAGACCCCCACCCCTCCACACACCCCCACCCCGCCCCAGGCCCCACTCACGTTCAGCTCGATGATCCAGAGCAGGGAGATGAAGAGCAAGTCGAAGGTGACGAAGAGGCAGAAGGTGCGGCGGACATCAGAGATGGCGCGGCGCTTCTCGGGAGGCGGTGGGAGCAAGTGTGAGGGGAGGCTCTGGCTGTGGGACAGCGAGGAGCTGAGGGAGGCCACAGCCGGCAGGCTGCGCTCCAAGTCTCGGGCCAGCTCCCCGGACAGCTTGTTCATCCTGGTGGCCCCAGGCGAGGCGGGGAGGACGGGCCTCAGCGGCTTGGCTGCGGGAGGACAGAGGGCTGCGAGGTCAGGGCCTGCAGGTCTCCAGAACCTCCTGCCCCGGGCCCATTTGCTCCCAGACACACCAGCTCACCTCCACCCCAGGCCCTGCTCAAAGTGTGCTCTCTGCCAAATCCCTTCCAGAGACCCAGCTGGGGTCCAGCACCCCTGCCAGGCTGTCCCCGTCCCACCCCACCCTCAGAGGCCCCAGGTTCACCAGTGGAGGCCAAGGGGTGCAGACTGCTCCAGTCAACCCAGCCCCAGGGCTCAGCCTCAGTCAGGGCAACAGCCTCCCGGCCTGCCCCACCCCAGGAGAAGAGGGCCCCAAGCTCTGTTCTTTGTTTTGCAAGCACAAAGCCACATTCCCTCCCAGCAACCCGCCCTACCCTCCCACCCCTAATCCATGGCACTGGGCAGGACCTCCGGAGCAAAGTGAGAATCTGAGCTGGAACCTGGGACGGTGGTATGGAGGGACAGTATCTGGGTCCCCTGTCGCTAGCACCCCTCCTCACCCCACACCATCACCCCGAGGCTGCCTCTCCCACCCTACAGCAACCGCTTCTCCACACACCAGTCAGTTTCAAAACATAATTCGGGTCCTGCCATTCCTGCTTACAACCCCTCAAAGCTCCTCACCCAAGGCCCTAGGACAACAGCACCCCCTCCCGGCACCCTCACCAGAGGTCTGGGCGGTCTGGGGTGTGCCACTGCCCGGCTCTTTCCACAGCTCCTCTGAGGCTACCTCCTCTTAGCCCCAAGGGCCTTCCTCTTCCTCAGGCCTCTAAATGCAGCAGCCTCATCCTCCTTGGACCCAGCCCTCTAGGGTAACTGGAACATTCTTCCTGTCCTTTCAAACAGCAATTTACAAGTCCCCTCTGCGGGGAGCCTTGCCTTCCTGTCCTGTCGACCAGGCTCTGTGATGGGGCTTTGCTTTCTTCAGGGAACTCAGCTCCATCTGAAGTTCTCTTACTGATTGTTCTGTGTAGCCCAGGCCTCAGTGTAGGGCCTTGGTGACCCCCCTCACCTAGCACCTAGCACAATGCCTGGCATCTAGTAGGTGCTGAGTAACGGTCTCAGGCCCCTCAGCTCTATATTAGGCAGCAGAAGACAAGGTAAGTGCTAATGAGAGTAACCCTGGGCCGCACCCAGAGCCCCGCTGCCCACAGGGCAGCATGCCCGCGGCCCTGTTTCACGCCCACAGGGATGGTGCCTCCTGTTTTACAGGTGAGACAGTAGGCTCAGGGTGGCAAACAGACTCAACCATCCCTTAACCGTCTGACAGACCAGAGACTGTGATTCTCATGAGCCCTCGGGGGCCCTGGGTCACTCCCACTGCCACAGTCCCCTGCCGAAGGTTCTGCCCCACTGGTGTGTGACATTAGGCCCACAGAGGCCCGTTCCCTGGAGGGTCCAGTCCAGAGCCAGAGAGGTGCTGATTCAACAAGGGAAAAAGGGGGCTTGAGCTTCTGGGATCCATCAGGACTCTCTCTAAGTCCTCTCAGATTTGGGGGCCCGGGGAAGGGAAGCCCTAGATGCCTCCCCAATCCCAGGAAAATCAAGATCTAACCACTCTCCCCTCCTACCTCGCTCACTGGCGCCTCCATATCTCTGCCATGTCAACTACCTTCCCGGGCCCCCTTCAAGCGCAAGGTCTAGCACAAACACCCAGTTTTCGTCCAGCAGGTTCTGCGCGAGCCAGCTCATGCACCCCTCTGCCTCCGTGCAGGCCCCAATGGATAGGAGCTGACTGTTGTCAGCAGAGGCACCAGCCCAAGGCCATCCCCCCAGTACCACATTCCCGGGGCCTCCATGAAAAGCTAATCTAGAGGGTACTGAAGGAAAGCTAGTTGAGCTCTGGAAGGTGGCACTCAGGAGGGCCGTGACAGGTCTGTGGCGAAGGGACCCCGACGTCCCAGCTGGGCCTGGTGCCAGACGCCAAGCCAGCGCATCCCTCAGTGTCAGGGCAGCCCCAGGCTGTTGGCATTTCTTGGTATCTGACGGCCTCCTGTGTCCCTCCAGCCTGCCCCCTCTCCTCTGCACATGTGGCTCTGGGTCTCCCTCCAGCCCCTCCCCCATCAGTGAGTCTTCTGCCCATCGGCCCCTCTGCCTTTCTCCGTTCCCCCCTTTCTCTCTCCCTCTTTTCCCTGTCTGCGACACGTGGCTGCCCTCCTCCCAGTCTGCGGGCCCCCCCCCCCCACCGTCTGTCTGTCCCTCTGGCTTGCTCCCTCCCTCCCTGGGGACAACACTTGGCAGCAGCTTGGGTGTGAGACGCACTTGAGTGGCAATGGCACCGACACTCACACACCCAGACATTCCTGTTGAGGCGAGAGACACGGATGGGGGCGAGAGCAGAGGTGTCGGGAGCCCGGAAAGCTGCAGACGCGGGGTACGCGGGAGTCAAGCACAGGGGCTCCGAAGCAGGATGGGCGACTGGCCAGGAGTCCGGGGCCGGCCACCGGGAGGCAGCTCCGTCCCTCCCGTGAAGCAGCGAGAGCTTCTGGAGAAGGAGCAGCAGTGGGGACTCAGGAGCCCTGAGGCCAGCCTGGGCAGGCGCTCTGACTCTGGCCAGTGCTCGCCAGGCCTGTGTTTCTCTATCTGGGAAAAAAATGGTTTTACAAAACCCCTTTTCAAGTACGGGACACTTAAGAAAAAGTAAAACCTTCCATGGAACTCCACCTATACAACATGCGCACACACGAGACTGGGCTCTGTCGCAGAAGGCGGCCTTCCTGCAAACTCCAGGGTCACCTGGGTGCAGTTTGGAAAAAACAAAACCAAAAAACCACAGCTCACTCATGAGTCCAGGTGGCCCCGCCCGCCCCACGCCGGAACACCGTCCTCTGGCCCTGGAGGGCACAGCGGGCGCTGCCAGCCTGGCACCCACCTCCTGAGGCGAGGGCGGCGGGAGACAGCGGGGCCGCCGCCCAGCCCCCGGGAGCAGCACCCCTGCCAAGCCACTGCCCGCTGGCAGCCGCCCTCCCAGGGGCCTTCAGAGGTGTCGGGAGTGGCGCGGCGCGGCGCGTGCGGCGTGAACCGCCTCCGCCGGGCTGGCTGCGGGCTTGCGCCCGTGTGCTGGTGAAAGCGGCACTGCGAAGGCAGGGGCAGTGCGAGAGGGGGCGGAATCAGCGGTGTGACCACCCCAGGTTGGAAGGGAAAGGGGGTGCGGACGGCTCTCACGTTATTTTAACGCTTGAGGCAAAGGGAGCCTGGCGAGCGTCCCACACCGCCACCGCAGGCCCGGGAGAGCTGCGCCAGGCCGGACTCGGGGTGGGCACCGGGAGGCAACAGACCCTGGAGACTCAGGCCGGCTCGAGTCGCAGTCTGCGCTCACTAGCGGGGGTCCGGGCCACACAGGCGCACTGCAGACCATTTCCTTTGTTGCATTAAACAAAGGCAACAATGTACTAGATGCACAGAACTGTACACCCCAAAATGATGGAAACGGTAAACTGCGTGTCCTGCCTAACCGGCCACGGTAAGACCGGTGAGGACAACTGCTCCCTTCTAGCGCGAGCCTTTGTGTCTGCCGGGTGGAGGAGTGTGGGCGCTGGGTCAGCGGTGGTTAACACGGAACCCGTAGGTGGCGAAGCCAGTCAGGTGAGGGGAAAATGCAGTGGAGGCAGGGGTGGGGTGCACAGTGGTGTATAATAAAGTCATCCCCAAGGGCCGGGGTTCAGACCTGAGCGCCAGGATGCACACGGAGTGTCCTAGCCACCCTCGGAGTCTCCAGGTCAGAAGAGAAAACCAAGCTGATCCAGCACCAGGCAAAGGTGAGTTCCCAGGCTGGGAATGGGCACAGGAAGTGGGGGCTGTCCTGGCTCTCTGCACAGACTTGGGGGATGCTGGGACTGAGCTCTGATACTCCCTACCCCTTCCCAAGGGTACCCAGCCCCACCGCAGTTCCAGGCTCCAGTCCCCACTCCCAGCTCTTAGAGGTCAGGGTACAGCCCTCAGTGACTCCCAGGCCAGAAGTTCTAGTCACCCCTCTGCAGCTCCAGCAGGCATTTCCTGGCCAAGACAAGTCTGCAGTTGAACACCACCACGTACTGGTCATGAAAGTCGGAGGCTGCCTCTGGAAATTGGGGGTACCTGACCCTGGGTGGTCTGGGTGTCAAAGAACACAACAGCTGCGGAACAGTGCCTGGCACTCAGTAACCTCTGCCATCCGGCCACCCGAGTCTTCTCACTCGGCCCCACCTCCCAGCTGGCCTGGCCACACAGCTGCACTGGAACCCTGCGTCAGGGGGACCAGAAGTGAGCCAGTTCCTTGCCCAAGGCCGAGTGGGAAGGCTCTCACCACTTCCTAGCGCTGGAGTCCTCAGGAAGCCTAGCGCTTCCCCCACACCAAAGGGGCTTCCCAGTGGGGTCACTAACTCCGTACACATCAGGAGGAATCAGTGAAGCCAAGGAAGAACTAGACTCCAACCCAGGAGAGGGCTCAAACCTCAGACTCCCACCTCATGGGTCCTTCACCTCTGCCTCAGTTTTCTCCTCTGCAAAATAGGGATAACAGCACCAACTTCTTACAGGTGTTAGAAGGACTAAGTGGGGGCCCCCCTGGTGGCCTAGGGGTTAGGACTCAGTGCTGTCATTGGTATGGCCTAAGTTCGATCCCCAGCCAGGGCACAGCAGACCTCTCCTGTCTTACCCGCTGCTCCCCTCAGCAGTGTATTTCAGTCAATGGGCCTGTTCTGTTCCCCACTCTGTCTCCGGTGATCCTTTCACCCCCTGCACCTCTGACCTACACCCCAGCTCATCTATGCAAAAATAAACTAAAAAAAATAAGATGACTAAGTGACTGATTCAATGCAATGGCCCAAACGACTCTGACAGACAGTGTTCATGAGTTAGGCAGCGTAACTTCCCTGCCTCTTCTGTAGAGGAAGGTGCAGAGGTGTGTTCTGACGGCCTCTGTGACATGGCTTCACCCCAGCCCTTTAGAACGCTGGGCAGTCTGGGTTAGTCGCCCTGTCAGTGCCAGGTCTGATGGAGAATCCAGACC